TATCTTTAAGGTCCCTTCCAACTCCAAATCTTTTGATCCCATGAGGGCACAAACTGCCTGGTAGAGAGTGAGCAAAAGACAAGGGTTTGGAGGAAAGATCCAGGGCACACTGTGTTGTTAAGCAAAGAGATAATATCAAGTTGTAAAGAGGGCTCATTTTTCATCTGCACTGTATTCTATTATAATTCTATGCAGTGAAATGCACTCCACACTTCATGTATTGGCTCTTGTGGGCATTTGGTTTTATAACAAATTTTTAAAATTAAATTTTTTTTTAAATTTTATAGCCATTTTGAAACTTTATCACACCAATACGCAAGATAGCAACATTGCGCCACTTCTGTGAATTGTCTCTCTGGGAAACATTTAAGTTTCATAGAATTCAGATCTCAATTCAGAAGTAAATTCCAGCCCTTTTATTCACACATAAGGAAACTGAGAGGAAAGTTTTCTTCGATGAGAGTAAGAAGACCAGTGGTTAAGTCCCAATTGTGTCAATGACTGACCAAATAATTTGGCCAGGGTCCACATAATTAGTAAGCAGAACAACTGGAATTCAAACCTAGATCTTCAAGCCTCCAAATTTGTGATCTTTCCACCTCATTATGCTGCCAGGGTTGATGTTTATGCCCACTTATGCTTTTTGGGAAGAGATAATAAGGGTAACCTGGTGAACTGTCCCTTGCTGGGTTCAAGACAAGTTGTCAGTCGACCCTCTTTAGCAGGTAGCATCGCATAGCAAACCATTTCCATCTGAAACCAAAGTCATCTTCCATTTTAGTGGTGTCTGAACTGGAAGAAATAAAGCTCACTACTTCCTTTCCCCAAAAGCAAGTCATTAGACAAGCTACCTGGAAAAAAAAATGAACTTCTGAAGTTCTGACAGTAGTAATTTATGATTAAAAATAATAACAATAAAGCTAGGAACACTGATAGCACCAGACCCTGCTAAAGGCTACACCTTTAGGACTGTGACCAGCTTTCTTCAGACTGTGGCCAGCTCTCCATTTTGCCTTGCCTACAAAGGCACTGAGAAAAAGCAAGGCTCCAACCTCTATTCACCCAAACTAGTTTGTGTTTGAGATGGACTCCTGGGCAGGGACCAAGTGCTGCAACAGCCTCAAGCAGGAGAAGGGAAGCTTCAAGCAGTCTTTAGATGTACAACATTGTTTCATCTCATTTGGCTTATATTCCTCTGTGATTCTGGTTTCTGAGAGCACCAGAACAGGGGGTGAAAGAAGTCGGGGTTATGGGTGCCCTGCTGGCTTTCAGACAAATTATGACAATAGAAGAGAGAAAGGGGGAAAAACACATTAGAAGCTGATATACTTTGTCCCGGAATTGCAGCATTTTCAAAATATCCTGCTTTGAAGAATTTTGTCAGGCCCCAAAGGAAAATTGTTTAATGTGGTCTCTGTTTCAATTTAAGATGTCACATTGACGGACTGGAAACAGTATTGTGGGAGAGGTTGGGAACAGGGAGGAAGGGTTATTTTGTTATTTACTAATACATGAAATTACTTCATCACAAAACAGTATCACAGCACTTCCTTTTAATATTTGGCTTTGAAAACATTCTTGAATTGAAATGGATGTCAGTTTCCAATTCCTTTCTGTCTCTGCTTCTTTCCTTCCTTCCTTCCCTTGTTTTCTCCCTTTCTCCCTCCTTCCCTCTCTTCCTTCCTCCCTTCCTTTCTTTCTTTTTCTTTCTTTTCTTTTTTCCTTCCTTCTTTTCTTTCTCTCCTTCCTTCTTTTCTTTCTTTCTCTCTTTCTTTTCCTTTTTTGAAAAGATGAGCCTCTCCTTGATTTTTGAGGAAGAAATAAAGACATCTAAGCTTTTTTGGATATCCTTACTTCCCTTCATCAGATGTACAGGTTCATCTTGGCCACATCATGTGCATTTTCACACCCTGTTTATTAGTATACCAGGATAACTCTCTGAAACTAAATTCTGAGAGTCTGTCTAGGCCTGATACTATCTGCCCCAATTCTAATCTTGTCACATGTGGTTACATTTCTTCACCCAACCCTTGCAGTGTCCCAGTATCCCAGGTGAATGCCTGTGGAACTGATGAAGCTTTGGGTTGTAAACAACTCTGCCAAGTCATAGTGCTCTCTCATCTCCTGCTATTTTAAAAGAACAGATGTTATTTTCCTCCTGGAGCTGGGCTTCTAATAATCCTTTTTATTTTCATTTTTCTTCTTCAGTTAAAATAATAGCAATAATAATACCTGAATTATTGGTTTGAAAGAGAACCAGAAACATTTGTTCCCCTCTGCCCTGCCCCCCACACCCATTTTGAAAGGGCTTACTAATAGAGACAATTCTCTTTTTTTCAAAGCCCCTGATCTCTAATGACCAGCCTGTTGCTCCTTCTCCAATTACTCAGAATGAATGTGGGTAGCTTGATCTGTTGGAAGGAACTGCTGGATGTGTAAAGGTTTGTGCTGATTTAGTAAAGACAGATGTAAAGCGGTAAGGTAAAAGTTCTGTGGTTTCAGAGTGACAGATCAATTTTCTCTTGCCAGGCAACTCGCTCCTATTGAATTCCTCCATGCAACCTGACCTGACAGTGAGCCGTACCTATAGTGGGCCCATCTGCCTACAGGACCCCCTGGACAAGGAACTCATGACAGAGTCTTCACTTTTTAACCCATTGTCGGACATCAAGGTCAAAGTCCAGAGCTCATTCATGGTTTCCCTAGGAGTATCAGAACGAGCAGAGTATCATGGCAAGACCCACTCTGGGACATTTCCCCATGGGAATACCAGAGGTCTTAATACAATACATCCCAGGAATAAAACCCCCTACATCCAGAATCTCTCATCACTCCCCAGCAGAACCGAGCTGAGGACCACTGGTGTTTTTGGCCATCTGGGAGGGCGTTTAGTGATGCCAAATACAGGTATGTTATGATGTTAGCATTCTATTCACATATTATAGCAAGATCACAGCAAGATCACAGCAAGATCTCAAGATCCCAAGTCAGTTGTCTCAGATAATGCAGCCAGTAGAGTAAATGCTAGACATGGAATCTGGAAGACTTGAGTCCCATACGTTTCTAAAACATTTAGTAGCTGTGTGGCCATGGTAAAGTCAGTTAATCTCTCTAGATCTAAATTTTTTCATCTGTAGAATTAGAATAATACCTGAATCCACCACAAAGGGCTGTTGTGAGGCTCAGATGAGATCTTTTAAGACACCTTTTGTTCCTTAAACCATAACGTCAATGCCAGTTATTACTATTGTTGAGGTTATTATCATCCCCTTAACAAAACTGCAGAAATAGTCACAAAGAGTCCATTTGAGTCAACAGCAGAATCAAGATTAGTTACAGCTCCTGCTATTCCAGAATCAAAGAATCACAAAATCACAGGATTTGAGAGATGGAAGGGCCATTGAACCTTCCCATTAAGCTAAAGGAACTCATACTGTAACATACCCAACAAATGGCCATTTTAATCACTTAGGTGACTTTTCTTAGTGCTCGAATACAAACATAAGGAAAAAAGTTTATGGATGACTAGATTAACAATTGAAGCTGGGGAATATAGAGGGTCCCTAGAGTTTAAACATTATTCAGTTTCATTTCCCCGGGTACTAGAAGCAAGTGCAAAGAACATCTTTCTCTAACACTCAAACATGGAAATAATAGGAAGGAAAAAGAAAGAAGCATTTATATAGCACCACTTATGTGTTGTTGTTCATCCTTTATTCTTGAAGAGGACCAATAACATCACCTCACTCTCTCCTCCAAAGTCATTAAATTCCACTGGCAAGACAAAAGTCAAGATGATTGGGGATGGCCCAATCCAGTGGGTGACCTTGGCCTTTCTAAATTGAGATCTTTCCCAGGTCTCAGTTTATCTGAGGCAATACCCATGCAATGACTAAGGTCTAGATAAGAACTGTGACAAAAGATGGGCCTGATTTGCCATTGCAAAAATACCAGTTTTTGAGGGCAATACCCTCAAAGTTTTGAGCAAGAACAGAAAACAGTTGCTATTTATACTTATTCTAAGCCATCAGAACCTAATCAATAAGCCACAGAGGTTTAAGCTGGGGGATCTTTTTGGCCGTTCAATGAAAGCCAGAGTGATTTGGTTTTAAAGGCATAGTCAAGTAGCTCCATTTGAAACACAGTGGGTTTTTTTTAAAGCCTGTTTTTTCAGAGATATAATTCAAGAAACCCATAAATGAAAACTGCATGGGACAAAAAGTAAATTTTCCCAGATTTTTGGGGAAAAAATAAAACAAAAGTCCTTTATAAATAATGTCTCATTTGATCCTCACAACAACCCTGGGAGGTAAGCGCTATTATTATACCCATTTACAATCCAGGAAACTGAGCAAGTCAGAGGCTAATGACATGCCCAAGGTCACATCACTAGTAAGGCTCTGAGTTCACATTTGAACTTAAGTCTTCATGATTTCAGACCCAGAGATCTATCTACTGTACCACCTAGCTGCCTCAAATAGCCAACTGGATTATAATTAAGGGTAACATGTTCTTCTAGGGGACTTAATTACACAACACTTAAAGTCTAATTTGATCAATACCTAATATAATAAACATAGCCAGGCATCCAACAACCTGATGTGACATCACATCCTAATCAGTGCAAATAAAGTAAAACTGTTCATGATTGAGAGTTCATTTCTGAGGCTACCTTTATGAGAATGATTTGTTTTGTGTTGATAGGTTTGTTTGTTGTATGTTTTGTTTGAAGGATAAATGTCTTAATAGTTTAGACATTTTGAATCTTCTGAGTTGAGATCAATACTATAAGGATCTTATTCCAATGGCTTAAGCCACATGTTCGAAGTCCAAGACCCAAACAGATAGTCAGAGGGAGTTAGCACTCTTTCCTGATTCTTTGGTTCAGAAAATAAAGAAAGGCACTGAATGATTGCTCAGTTACCTGCTGAAAAGAGAGTTCACTCAAACTGAAAGTGTTATTAAGCACCAAGTTAGCATCAGATAGAGGCCATTAGGCCCACCTTCCTGTGGTAGATTTCTCAAAATTAATGTGAAACTATCCTGTTTTTTCGGCATCAGACATTTTATCTTGTGAAATGAAATCTGTAACAGGACTGACCTGTTGCCACCAAACCAACTAATTGGACACCTTTGGAGTCCAGGGATCTTTTTCTCAGAGAGTCGCTGGAGACAAGGATTTGATTTCAAAACAGTTCCCCTCTATAGAAAGAGTGTTTTCATAGTGTTTAATAAGACACTTGGGCACTTAAATACTTGGAAGGATTTGGCTTAGCAAGAATGATGTGGGCAAGAAGAAGGGAAGTTCAAAGGGCAGTACTTAGAAGGCAGAAATGAAAATAACTGATATTTACATAGCATTTTACAATTTGCAAAGTATTTGGCCGTACATTTTAACTTCATAACACCCTATGAAGTACGTACTCTAGCTGTTATAACCCCCCTTCTTCTAGTAGGGAAATTAAGGGTCCAGAAGGATAAATGACTTATTTGTGGTCACATAGCCCATGTCTAAGGCACCAGCTTAATTCATCTTCCTAATATTATATATCCAACATTCTAGCCATTGTCATACTGACTAAAATATTCTCCAAGTGCTAAAGTAGTTGAGAAATAAAGCCAATGCAATTCAAAACACAAATGGGATTTTCTCATCTGTATTCCCAAATATTAACTTAAAAGGCAGAATAACCACTCACACTTTGGAAAGCATTAGCTGTGCAAAATTATGAAATGTAAATGCTAATATTTAGGTTATTGTTATTACTTAAAATCAAAGGCTGTCTAAATATTCTTCTTCTGAAGTATTCCTCTTACAGTAGCACAGAGACCATCTTGGGTCATTGAATGCCATACCAATTGATCACAAACTTTCATAGGTCCTAAGAAGCTAAGAGTTTTGAGTACAGGCCTTTATTGCTGTCTTTAGAGGACCAGATTAGCTAAGTGCAGAGAGACAGTTTTAAGCTCCAAAAGGTCGGCTACCACTTGGCCACAGTAATCCATACAAAAGAAAGATTCTCACCTATGTCAGTAGATAGAATACCAACACCAGTGAAATCATGAATCTCAAAAGAATTAAAGTTAAGATAATCAGATTCTTTGTGGGGGCTAGGTCATTCAAAACGGCCACTTAATAAATATTCTTTGATGATTTTATAGAATGGCAGCTAAATCATGTACTTTGTAAACTCTAAAAACCTATTTAAATATGAATTCTTATACATTTTTGGGGAAAAAGAAATGTTTCCATTTGTTTGTTTATGGGGAAGGTGTACTTCTTTGATCAGAACATGGTGGAACAATACTGGTAATGGAAACTTTTTTAGGGAAACTTAACCATCAAGTTATCAATAGGTGCCTTAAGAAACAAAGCAGGGGCAACAAGGTGGCAAAATGAACTGACCCTGGAGTCAGGAGGACTTGAGCTCAAATCCAGCCTCATATGCTTATTAGTTGCGTGATCCTGGGCAATCACTTAATCCTGATAGTCTCAAAAAAAAAAGGAAAGGAAGCAAGGAAGGAAGAGAAAAGGAAACAAAGCAACACTTGGTATGATGGCCCTTTTCTCTCTATAATAGGCATATTCTATTGACTTACTCACCACCATGAAAAACGTGTGCATTTAGTAGGATGGATATGGAGCCTGAAAGAAAGTAATCATAACTGACATTTATATAGCATTTTCCTCAAAATAGCCCTGAGTTAGTGCAAATATTATAATCCTCATTTTAACCCATAGAACAGTCATGTTAATTGGTGTAGTTTTTAAAGAATAATTTTACTATAATATCTCCTGTCTGTGTAAATGCACTTTAAATACAAATAATTACAAGCAGGTATTTTACTTTGAAATAAAATATATTTTTTAAAATGCATTGATTTAATTGATGCATCTTGGTCATTTGAGCTACTCCTAAATTTCTGTCCTTAAAGGTAAGGATACCGACAGTCTGAAAGGATAAGAAACTTCCTAATGGTCATACAACTACTAAATGTTTGAAGAGGTTTTGATCACAGGTCCCCTGGATTCAAGTTCATGGCTCTATCTACTACTTTGTGCTAACTCTCAGTTATAAAACTGTTTATTAAGATAAATCTGAAATACTCAAAATTCCCTTTAGGATCTACAAATTCAGGAAAAATTTCAGGATGAATATAAATGACACCTCAGTTTTAAGCTAGGAATTACGTAGTGCATAGACTTTGTAAAAGTTTTCACTTTGTTATTCAAGAAGAGATAACCTCATCAATTATGAGAAGCATGGTCTAGAGAACCCTGTGGGGTATACCATGTTTTGTATTGTTTTTGTTTTTCCTTCATTTGAGACATTTTGCTGTAAAAAAAAGTCTTCATTGGTTATGCCTTTCTCATTGAGGCTCTAGTATGTCTGAAAAGCAAATTTTACAATAGATTATAAAATAGCAGCATCTAACTAAAGGAAATAAGATATTAGGTCCTTTCTGCATTCAGCCCATGCAAATTCTGGCATGCCAGTATTCTTTTTTGCATTCTAGGTCAACCTAAATGGAGGAAGGCAAATGGCCAAGTGGTATGGTCACATCTCTACCTTAAATATTTTACACTCTACATAGCAACAAGGGATATGGCTTCATGGAAGCCACTTTATTTGGCAACTGCATTTAAAGGAAAGTAGGACAGGGAAGAAGGAAGTCAAAATGAAGCACCTAACTATGGCAATTATAGTTCTTGACACTGTTGACATTAAGGTCTGGTTTATAAATGGATCTCTCTGCCAAAAAGATGTAAGCAAGATTTAAATGTGTCTCATTCTTAGTGCCAGTGAAAGGTACTGATGATAACTAGCATGTTACTGAATAATACTCATAAATATGAATAACAAATAACTTGTTTTGCAATGAATCTCAGATTGCATGACTATACAGTGGCTAACAGGCCGATAGGAGCATATTAGCAAAGGCTGCCATCTCTGGATTTAAATTATAATCACCAACCTGAAAGCTTTTTTGTGCTGTTGCCTTGCTTCTAATGGACTGAAAGGTAAGAGCTACATTATTCAAGGAGAAAAAGAAGATGCTACGAGGTTTTATTTTGTAAAGTTATTTTTAATGCATAACCAGTTCATTTCTTCATATAAATGAGATGGTAGGTTAAAGAGAATCCCTGCCCTTCCCAGACTCTTGTTTCTTGGCTGAGGTGGAAGATTTGCTTTACAGCATCCAGAACAAGAGGGGAGGAAAACTGAAATACTCTATAATGTGGGAATTGGATTGATGCCTTGTACAGCTTGTTCTGGCATTGTATTATTTTACCATGGTGAGGCTCCTTGAGTTTTCCATTTGCCGTTGAATTAGGTAGTAGTTAAGGAATAAATACTTTTATTTCTTGGCTGAGGCTAAAGTTTTGCCTTAAAGCATCCAAGAAATAGGGAAGAAACATGCAAAATGCTAAATAAGAACTTAAGTAATGGTAATGATCATTGCTCATACTGGTTTCTGTTGCCAAATCCAAGAAAAATTCTTGTAGTATAAGCTTAAACATGATTTTTTGGAAGAATGCATGGTTACTGGATGACACTTCGTAGGAGCCATGTATGGGTATATGTATGTATATGTATGTATAATGTATATGTATAATGCCTCCCTTTTGATGCTGATGACCACCCCTTTTCCTCACCCCCAACCCCACCATTCTTTTCTGCTCTGTGCATTTCTTGTCCATGTCTTCCTGTACAACAACCAAAGAGGATCTACCCAGATTACTCAAGGGCTTTGTTTTGTCCATTACAATCTCTTGACTATTAATATACCACTTGACCTATCAATTTATTGGCCTTCCTTTTCACTATAAAGCTAGCCACCCTCTTTTTACAGTTACACATATCCTCAATCATGTCTTCTCTGCTATTCCTTACAGGGAAGTGATCATTTTTGCCTTGGGCCCAACCTATATCTTTCTATTGTCTTTTAAGTTATTATTTGTCATTTTAATTCTTCCAAGATAGATGTATTCTGGATTTCACAAGCAAATGGCTTTGATGGGAGACTCTTGGTAGTAAAGGGGTATGTTTCTGCTCCCCAAATGGTTAAATGTATTGGATGATAATCTCATACCATGCATTTTTTTTCCATGTTCCTTGAAAGACTTTAGCCTTCCATTGAATATATAAAGTGCTTATTGCTAGTACCTCATGCTAGTAGTTCCTTAAATTAGATGACCATTTTAGCATAGTTTTTAGCAAAGTTTTAATAGTTTTGTCATAGATCTAACTCTTGGCTCTTTTAGCTGAGGAGTTCAAAGTTTGAATGGATGTGGAATTTCCTATAAGCAGGATTCTTGAGCAATATTCATGCAGAGTAATGAGCTGATTCATCCCCCAACTTGGTATGTTCTATGGCTCACGGTCTAGTGCAAATTTGTCAAACATACAGCAATGGGCAGCACTGTGGCCCACAACACTCCCGAGTGCAGGGTGAACCAGATTAAAATGGAAATAAGAAATATTGAGCACAATAATTAAAAAAAACACTCATAGAACATAAATAATATTAAAATGTGATTTTTTAAAGTCAAGATGCAGTCAGCATTATCTATATACACTTTAGTGGCCCCATTTCTTTTTGAGTTTGAAGTTAGAGTTTGAAAGCCACTGGTCTAGTGGTTTTAACAGTTCTTATAAAAAGAAGCCAATACAACCATTTGTTTTCAAAAGAAGTCTTTTTCTTTCTTTCTTTTTTAAGCTTTCCCCTTCCTGTGTAACCTTTTCAGTAATACTTCCTCCCAATAATATAGACCTTTGGGTACATTTACAAAGTTCTGAGATATGACAAACTTTTTTTTTATTTGTTTTTTAGTCAAACACTAGCAACATGTCAACAAACTTTGGCATAATTGATAGACCTGGAAATAACCTTTCGCCTTGTTTTATTTTAGGGGTGAGCTTACTCATACCACATGGAGCTATCCTGAAGAGAATTCTTGGGAGATTTATATGTCCATCAACCAAGGTGAATCCAGGTGAGAGATAAATAAGATGTGATGGCATTGACCTATCCAATAGGGAGTAGATATTCCCTGCCAGGAAATCTGAAATAATTCAAAGAATAGGACAGAGGGGATGTCTATAGGTAAAGGTACTTATGAAGTTTTGCTTCATAAGGAGGGAAGAACAAAATCTAGAGGCTATGGGAAATCCAAGGAGAATGCAGGCATGTAGAGTTTCCCATCTGTGAACATGGGTCAAGATCACCATAGTCTTAAAGGCAAGATACTCAAGTAGAGCAATGAATTGATGGATATTGTTTCAAGCAGATAATTAAGATTAAACTGACTACTACATTCATTTATTCGTATCTTTCTTACAAAAGAGAGGAGGCAGAGGGAGAGAGAAAGAGAAATAGACACATACAGACAGACATGGATGAAGAGTGACAGAGAGACAGAAACACAAAAAGAAAGATGGAGACAGAGCTACAGAGATAGACAGTAACAGAAGAACATACACATACAGGTAGACACAGAGAGAGACAGAAACAGAGATAGTGATAGAGGAACAAAAACACAGACATAGACACAGAGACAGAGAGCAATGGAGACAGAAACAGAAAGATACACAAAGACAGAAAAAGAAAAACAGAGTAAAGAAAACACAGAGAGAAAGAGAGAGAGAGAGAGAGAGAGAGAGGAGAGAGAGAGAGAGATTAATTCTCCTTTCTCCTCTAAAGCCAAGGGAAGTCAAAGACAGAATGGAAACACTGAAATGATAGGTACTACAAAAATACACCAAATGATTAACCTCTGCCACCCTTCAAGGTCAGCAAGAGAGTGTACCATAGGCTGGAAGAAACACTCCTCCAGCCCCTTTTCACTCACTAGATAAATTCAGTTCCAAGCTTTAAGCTTTCAGTCATGGTAAATTCCAGTAGCAATTAGGAGAGCAAATACAAATCTTGTCTGAGGCCATCTTAATGAAGGGGTGGGTTATTTTCTTTCTGCAACTATAATATTTGTGGAGACACTGCCTTTTTCTCCACACAAAATGAACCAAATTCCTCTTTAGGAAGCAATTTCTCTCATAAACTGGATATGTACCTCTGGCGTTCTTAGTCATAGCATCTTGGTTATTTTAGAATAGACTTTTTTTTTTATTGTTAGGAAAGAGCCCATGAAGAAAAAACACTTGAAGGAAAACCAGCCAGAGAAACAGATGGTTTTAACAGATTTTGATAGCTGTGCCCATAAAAGAATTTGTTGGTTCCCAATGGTTTTAACTTTCTGCACGACAGGGATTGTGAGGGATTGAGAACAAGGCTCTACCAGGCAGTTGTTGCTGAGGCTGTTATGGGTTTTGTCGGCATGCTATACTAAGTTGGGCTCTCATGTTATTTCCTTAGGTCAGCAGAGCTAGATTCTTCACTCGGGCGCCTGAAAAAGGTGGTGGTGTCTTATAATCTCCATTTGACAGATGGGAGAAACTGAGGCTCAGAGAGGTTTGAAGGGTTTACTCAAAATCTCAGATAAGTCAGTTTACCAGACTTGAAAATAGGAATTCCCTGGGTGGGAAATCACCTCACATTCATTGTCACGGTTATTTTACATCAAAAATATACCTACATAATAATACAATCATAGTCAATTATGTTTATGCTTCCAGACTCATTATCTTGCAATTGTTTGTTTGCACATCTCATTGGAAAACAAGAATAAGGCAGAATCCTGAGGCTTCCTACTCATCAAATTTCACCTGTACCACCTTGCCTTGAATCTACCCTTTGCCAAGCCCTCTCCCTTTACTCCAATCTAAAGAGCCTACATTTAGCTTCCTCCTTTCAATACCATCACACACAGCTCTCTACCCTGTCATGCATCACATCATACTTCCCATTTGCTAAGTCATCTCCTTCCTTATAATGGAAAGCTCACCTAAATTATTCTCTCCTTTAATAAGCCAGTCCTTAAGCTAGATCATGGTAGCCATCCTTTAGTAATCCATTGGCCATATACCAAACAGGATCATATAAAAAAACATATTCTGAAGGGCCAGCTAGATGGTGCAGTGGATAGAGCACCAGCCCTGGAGTCAGGAGCACCTGAGTTCAAATCCAGTCTCAGACCAAACACTTGACACTTACTAGCTGTGTGACCTTGGGCAAGTCACTTAACCCCAATTGCCTAAAAGCAAAAAAAAAGAAAAGAAAAGAAAAAATATTCTGAAGGGGCAGCTAGATGGTGCAGTGGATAGAGCACTGGTCCTGGAGTCAGGAGGACCTGAGTTCAAATCTGGCCTCAGACACTTGAAATCTACTAGCTGTGTGACTCTGGGCAAATCACTTCACCCCCTTGCCTAGCCAAAATAATAATAATAATAATAATAATAATAATAATATTCTGAAGCATAGGGATGGAGAATATGAAATGAGAAGATTCACTAGAACCAGGTGCACTGAAAGTATAGCTGAGCCTACTGTTGTCACCTTTAGGAAAGCCTTCAGCTCTGTGCACCCTTGTTTAATGGACCACGCTCATTCACTTTTCTCTAGTCCTGGCAGAGGCTGGGATTCACTTATCGAACAGGCAGTTTCATTACTGCTCACTCTGAAGTAAGAAGGCAAAAGAAGTTGCTTGTTATAGAAGTTAGATCTCTGAACTATGCCTTTCTCCATCTATTACATCAAGAAAGTAAAATTAAGTTGCAGAGAGCATGCATCCTTCTTCAGTTTCCTGAAAGCTTCCTCGATGTGCTCTCTAACTACTAAGTAAAGGCCAGTCCCTGGGGAAAATGCCATTTAGTTTCCTTAATGAATCCACAGTCTCTTCTCAGTAGTTTTAAACCACAGACAAATGAGTAAGTCGTGCAGATGCCTCTCTGCCTGGATCCCATTGTCTTCTCTCCTCCCCTGCCAGGAAGTTGTTGAGATTTGAAAACACGTGTGTGTGTGTGTTACTATAACTAAGCACATAGGGTTGAGAAAAAAGAAAGGCCATTTACATAGTGGTTCAGTGTCATCTATGCTTTATGATGTCACTTTGGAAACCCATTTTCATACTGAATTGTATCATAGAACTGAGTTCCATCATTCTGACCTGGTGTTCAAATAAAACCCATTTTCTTTAAATTCTGCTGAACAGACAACAGCGCTGATCTATTTCTCTCATCGTTGCCTTAGGGCCACAAGAATCCATCCCTACCCACCACCAACCCTCCACCCCCCTTTTAACTCTATAGGTATGAGAATTAGATTGAGTGGGCCTTCTATCTCCACCACATTTAAAAGATGCAAAGGGATTCTCAAACAACATTCTTATGCTGTAATTAAATGGGTGTCTATTCTTTTTAGGATTTTTCTTTTTAGGATTCATTTTCCAGTTTATTTCTATTGCCCTTTTTGTGAGTTATATTCCCAGTCTTGTAAAACAGTCATAATACTGGGATTGTACTAGGTGTAAATGAGCCAAGCTCTGAGCCAGATTCTTAGAGCCTTGGTGGTGCTGTGTGAATCAAACAGCAAAAATAGTCCCCTATATTTAAACACCCTCAGATGGCTTGACTTTGATTATTTTTTTTTAAGTGAGGCCATTAATGTGACTGAATTTAACATGAATTTCTTAGGATATCCTATGTACGTTCCTTGTAGGCCTGTAAGAGAACACTCTGTTCCCTTCGTTGTACAGTAATTTTTGTTTGTTTGGTTTTTTGAAACAAAAAAACCTTCCCCTCTTCAACATTTCTTTCCCTGTCTATTCTCAAACTTGCACTGCCATAATGGTGAATATCCTCCCCCCCTCCTGTATAAGGCTGGTCTGTTGGCTAATTACGACCATTAGGAAAGAGCCTGTGTCAATAGAGAGATTTAGAATTTCATGATTTTACATGTAGTCTGTTGTTTGTTTGTTTGTTTTTTTAATCTTCTTTAGAGGTTAAAAGTGGAGAAAGCATTAAAGCAGGGAGATTTGCTTACCACTTATTGAAGCTATATCTTAATCCTGAAGAAGAGGCATCTACCATGATCCTTGAAGGACATGTGGGGCAATGCTAGACTACCCCCAAAAGGCAGTTAGGAACATTCTTAGTGGTCTATAGGATGATATGAACTATCTGTGTTTTGGGGGCTGGAAAATGGAACAAAGAGCAAACAACTTTTAAATATAATAAGTTTCACCCTCATTTTGAAACTTGGTTGACTGACTGACTCCTTATCAGGGATATTATAGGGGCAAGTCTTAGCCAGATATTGTTTGGAATAGGTGACCTCTTGGTGATGATTACATCCACTAATGTCTGATGAATGACCATCACAGAAGCAAAACTTAAGTACTCTATGGACTTTATAGCCTAATCATTTACCAAACAAAGGGCTTGGTGATGTTCTGGTTCATGTCCAGGATCTGCATGACATCTTCCATGTGGCTACTATATTAGCTGGTCACCTAATGATAAACTGGAAAATGTTCAGAGGAGAGGATAGTGAAGAACCTCATGGCCAGGTTTAAGGAGTATTGTTTGAGGGAACTTGGATGTTTATCCTGGAGAACAGAAAAGTTGAGTGACAAGAAGACATAACATTTGTCTTCTAGTATTTGAAGGGCTTGTGACTTGGATGAAGGTTAGACTTATTCCATTTGGTACCAGAGGTCAGAACTAGGAGGGATGGCAAAAGTTACACAGAAATATAGTATTGAGGCCAGGAAAAATAAACAAGTTTCTAACAATTAGAGCTAGAAAAAAGTGGAATGAGCCACCTCAGAAAGTATTGAGTGCGCTCCCCTTTGCAGGAGTTGGGATAAAGCAAAAGCTGGGTTACCAATAGTTAGATACATTAATATGTGTGTGTGGGGGGGGGATCTTTTGGAGGTATGTGTTGGCATACATAGTTAATAATGTCCCTCCATCATTGGAATTCTTTCAGATTCCGACTATGTGGCTCTTATCCAGAAGTTATTAGGGAGTCTCACCAGCATATTCTATCAGCACCAATTACTCGGCAGACTCTTGAGGCCAGAGTCTGTGTCTTATTTTA